ATAGAAGCGGCACTCTAGGATACTCTCTAATTAGGCATCTACCTAATATTTATCTAGGAACTATAGATGATACTATAAGATAATATAGCTAATATATAATTAATCTCCTACCCCTCTATAATATAAATTCTCCTAACCTTCCTATAGGGCTTACGTCCTTAGATAATACTCTACCTAAATAAATCCCTTACCTATATCTAGGTAAATCCTTACCCGGATATCTTCCCTAGCCCTAACTACCTTACTATAGATTTAACCTACGGAGAAGATACTATCCGCGTAGTTAACATCTATAATAAGGCGGAATAAGGCACCCTATCCTCCCTACGTATAATAGAAAGAGTTATTAAGTATAGCCCCCCTACTATGCTAATAATCTATATAGGGGACTTTAATAAATACTATCTAACGTAGGACCTACTCTCCCCCTAATCTCATAAAGTAGAAGCTCTATATAAATAGATTAAGGAAAACCGCCTTAAACTCTAAAACTAACCTAGAGTAGGTACCTTCTTTCGTATAGGGATAGAAAGGGAAATAGTTATTAACCTCTCCCTATATACTCTAATAGTTACTACTTAAGTGATTAACTAGTAGGTACGAGAGAACCCCCTATCTAACTATAACGCTATTCTCTTTACTATTACGTATAACGAGTTTTAAGATATACTAATACTACTACTATAGTTTAACGTTAAAAAGACCGACTAGGCCTAGTATAGGTAAATCGTCCGAGAAGAGTTAAATAAGATTATGAGTCTACTTATCTAAGCCCTTCCTAATAGGGCATAATACATACTCTCTAGTAGGACCTTATAAGAGGACCTAGACTAACTTAGATAACGCCTTATAAAGGTAATAGAGATAGCGGCTAAACGTAGTATCCTATAGGTAACCCCTAGATAGTAATAAAAACTATAGTAGTCCCTACTCCTTACGGCCTTAAGGATAACCGCTATATAAGTAAGGTGTAGGGCACGTTATGACTAAGTTACATATATATAAGCACGGAATACGTATAACACAGCTATTAAGTAGGTAAAATAAGAGCACTAGAATAACTTCCTCATAAAAGAAACACCCTAGTCTATCTATAAGGTAATAGCATACACGAAAGTAACCCGATCTAAGCGAATTCCCTAGATATATAACCTTTAAGATTAACTCTAATTATTATATAATAGTAAGTATACTACCTTCTATTAGAAACTCTTCCCCCTACTACTACATGTTCCCCTATATAACTAGATAAACTATAAGGAAGGGCTATAGGACTAGCCCTCCCTTACGGATAAGGAAGTATAGTATATCTACTCTTATAAGATTAAAGGCACTACCCCTAGGCTAGACTAGATCTACTAGAAGATAATTACTAAGGCGTATAACACTCATCCTAAAAAATTTACCTAGATATACTAAACCTTCTTTACGTACGGATATTACCTAGAATGCTAGAGAGAAGCGGTAGGTATAATACTTAAGAAGCTAGGGAAACCTAATTATAGAGACCTAAAAGCATATAGAGTTATCTCCCTACTTAACTACCTAGGAAAAGTCCTTAAACGCATTATAGTAAAATGTCTTAGAGTACTTATAGAAGCTACCTACCTCCTATACCCATCCTAAATAGGCGGACGACTATAGAAGTTAGTAATTAATATAGTAATAATCCTTACATATATTATCTAAGATAAGAGGAGGGCACGGCGTAAGATATTAACCCTATTCCTTAACATATAAGGTGCCTTTAATCATATAGCCTATGACTAGCTCTTATATATAATAGGGGAAATTAGGCTCCCTACCTCCCTCCTAGTATAGGTAAAGATATTTACTAGCGGGTGATAACTCTAGATCTCCTTTAATAGCTAATAAGAGGACCTTTATCTAATAGTTTTAGGAATCCCCTAGGGAAGCCTAGTCTCACTAATCCTATTTCTTATTTATATATGAAAACTCTTTTCCTCTTACTTAGTCTAATTCCTCTTATATATTAATAATATTTTAATTATAATCTCCTTAACGAGCTAGAAGAAAAATGCACGGATCCTCTAGTAGGAAGCTAACTAGCTTTTCTTACTTAGAACCTAATATGCCGTTAATTTTAATAAAGATAAAATAGACCTCATCTATTTTATAAGCTTAGATGAGGCTAAGTAAGCTATAATTATACTCCTAGGAGACTATATAGTATAGCTAAAGTAACTTATCTAATAGCTTAGAATATAGTTTAATATATACCTATTATTCTAGTAGTATACGATAATTTAGAACGCCTAAGTAAAGTAATTACTTAGAAGGCTTATACGGCTAGCTAATATATAATATAGACTATCTCCTACTACCGTCTAATAACTATACCTAGCTTATATATAAAGTGTAGTAGATTATAGGTCCCTAGTTTTCTAGTAAGTTAGTAGCTCTAAGATACTTAGATGAATACTTTAAAATAATAGACTACGCTAAATCCTAGGAGCCTTTTAGACCTCCCTAATTACCCCTATAGAAATTAAAGTAGGACTTCTCCCCCCCTACCTAAGGCGTAACATGTTACTTTAAGCGTATACTATATAACTCTTTAAGCTTAGTTACTAACACCTAGTACATATAATTATTAATAAGTTTAAATAAGAGAACATACTAGGACGATAGATATAACTTAAATATATCTAGAGCATAATTTTAGACCTAGTAATAGGTACTAAAAGCCTAATTAAACATGGTTCCTTTCCCCTATAGAAAAAGACTACTCCATATAAAGTTAAGATTAGCTACCTCCTAAAGGAATAAGAAGCCTAAGTATATATTAGATATATAGGATATATGACTTAGGTAGTTATCCTATACTCTAACGCTTCATCTATCCTAAAAGGAAATAGAGTAGGTATAGGAATCGTAGCGTACGATACCTAATAAGATAGTATAAGAGTAGTAGTAAGATATAGAGGAAATACTAGACCATACTAGCTTATATATAATAGAGAACTAGAGGTACTTATAAGGGCTATAGAGTTAGCTACCTAGAAATAGCTAGGACGACGGATTATAGTATATATAGATAACTAAGCTATACTATACCGCCTCTAAACCCCGTCTAACCTACTAGGTTAAGGACTATAACTTTAAGCCATAGATATAGGCTACTTAATTATAGCTAGATAAGGTAGTCTTACCTTCTTATAGGTCCTAGGCTATATAGGGATTAGAGGAAACCTATAAGTAGATACCCTTATAAAGGAGGCTACTAAGCTAACCCTAGAGAATAACTACTTAAGCACTACCCTCCTTAGGATGCGCGTATAATAAAGAACTATAGTAGAATAGATAGTATATACTATATAATACTAGGAAGTATAGATAATACTATCCTAGGGGTTATACGTATATAACTTCCTATCTATACTAAGGACGTCTATCTAACTCCCTAAGTATAGATAACTAGAAGTATTAGCCTACTTCTAATTAAAACTAAACTATAGCTACTTTAAAGCCTACCTATTACGGTTTAGTAAGATAGCCTAGGATAACTATAGCTATAATAACACCGCCTAATAAATACTATAACATCTTATTAGTAACTACCTACTCTATAGCTCTACTAGGAAAGAAGTAATATAGGAAGCGCTTTAGGCGTATAATAATAATAGTAGGAATATAGCCTCTATACCCTATAGAGAGCTATTCTAAGGAGACGTCGGTTAATAATTTATACTTAAATTTATACGTCGGACGAAGGTTTCTACTAGGGCATAGTATATATAAAGAGTAGACTAAGGGAAAAGAAGAGTAAAAAGAAGAAGAGAGAATCTATTCTAAGCTCTATTAGTAGAGCGAATAATAAGCTCTATAATCCCTCTACTTATAGTTCCCGTAGGTACTACCCTAGAACCCCTCTAACTAAAGATAATCTAGGAAGGGACCCCTTTATCTATAATCTACCTAATACCCTCTAGGCTTATATCCCTCCTCTACCTTATATAGAGCCTCTACTAAGACCCTAGCCTCTAGATTAGGAAGGTGTTAATATAACTTAGATAACTACTCCGTAACTACTCTAGCTAAACCCTCCTATACCTAATAATAATTAGATAACCGTTTAGCGGTAAGGTAAGGGCTTAACGCTATTTATCTATATAGTATACCTAGGCTAGGGCGGCGTATAGAGCCCTATTATTAGTAATAATATTAATGTACGGTTATCTAATAGCAGTAACTAGGCTAGATTAAATTATAAGCGACATTAATATAGATTAAACCTAGGTTCTTAAGCATTCTTTATTTTCTATAATAAGTATTAGCTAACTATACTAGTTAGCTAGAAGATAGACGCTACTAGTTAAAAACCCTACCTACTTTTTTCACCTTTATAGATGCTAAGAAAGGTGTTATATAATACTAACTAAGAATAGTACTATTAGGAATAGTACTAGAACGCTATAGTAGAGTATATATATAATCTACCTTACCTACTACCCTATACTATATTTACTTTTCTATATATACCTCCTTCCTATCCCCCTTCCTTTCCTTACTCTTACTTTATACTACCTATCTACTTAGATAACGGTAGGAAGGCTAGTCCTTAGCCCCCCCTTACCTAAAAAGAGCCTAGATAAACTATCTATCTATAATAACCCTATACTAATATTATACTAAGAATCGTGCCTTATTATATAAGATTCTTTAGCTAGGCATCCCTACTTACCTTATAAACGTACGCGGTATCCTCTATAGATAGCTCTATCTTAGATAGCCTATAGCTCTAGTAAGACGTAAAATAATTAATTAATTAATTAATTAATTAATCTACTTACCTTATAAACGTATATAGTATCCCCTATAGATAGCTCCGTCTTAGATAGCCTATAGCTCTAGTAAGACGTAAAATAATTAATTAATCAATTAATCAATCAATGAATCAATTAAGCCGCCTCCCCTTTCCTAATCGACCATAATTATATTCCAAAATTGGCAATTCAAGTTTCCAATCAGTACTTTAAGCGTTGGTGGTTTAGTGGTAAAATTCATCGTTGCCATTCTCGGCCATGCCTCCCGAGTCATATTCAGCAAGAATAACTTCGATGAGCCCCGGGTTCGATTCCCGGCCGACGCAGGTCTTTTTGCTCTTTTGTGATCACGTCAACCTTTTTGGGAGGGTTCGGGAGGGTGTGGTGGTGTTTTGCCGGGTTCAGGGGTAAGGGGGGATGGAATGGGGTTGTGGGCGCGGGCCGATGTGGAGCCGGGAAGCGAGGAGGGAGGAGTGAGTGAGTAGGTGAGTGGGAGGCTAGGTTTTAGAAGGTATGGTGGATGAAGTAGCGTCTTGTTTGTTTGTTTGTTATGGGGGAGGTCTGACGGTCGTCGGAAATTCCGATCCTTTTTTACTTCGTTGACGCGCGATAGAGTTGGAGACTGCGAAGATGATTGTTCGTCTGCACGATCTAAGAGAGTATGTGTAGCAAAACGCTAGATTTTTAGCGGAAGTACATGTAGGTACCTAGCTTAGGTATGCTTCTGCCAGCTACACGTAGCCAGCTGTTCCCCCCCCCCCCCCCCCCCCCCCCTTCGTATCGGCTCTCGCCACTCCAAATCTAACCCCCGTTCTTCCTGCGAACCCCCCTGCCAAGTCACTCTCAAGTCACTCTCACTTGTCCAAAAAGTCAACCATATATACACCTCCCAAAGGGGGCCTAACGTGATTTGATTAGTTATCTTTGTCGTGCCCATTTGCTCCATTTCGGTTCCGCTACGAAGTGTGTGTTGTCTCTAGAGAGGGTGGTTGCCACACGCACCTTCCCGAGCGAACCGAACCGCGAACCGGGAGCATGCCGGCGCCGCGAATGGCCTTGTCAACGATGGAGGGCAGCCTCTCGGCGCAAGTGTTGAGTGTGATGCCAAGCAAGAGAGACGACACGCCAGCAGTATTTCGAATAATCTTGGAGAGCTGCTGCCTCGGGCGCATGCAGATGCTTGCTGTAGCAGCGTCAAATGTCCAGATGTATATAGGTGATGGAAAACCTAGAAAGGCGGCATGGGCCCAAAAATGCTCGGATCGCGGTTCCGGACGTATCTCTGCGGTTGGGCAGGATCGAATCGAAAGACAAGGGCTGTTGTTGAAGCCGTGATAAGGCTTTTTTGTTGTTGTTGAGAGGAGAGCGGGTACAAGCAAGTAGCTCCAGGCTTGTCCCGGTTGGGAGATGGCGTCACCAGAAAGTCGACATCCCGGCCCAAAAGGGTCTTGTCTTTGTTGTCTGATCGACCCGGATGGACGAAATTGGAGGGATGGTTCCATTCAGCTACAACAACTGCTTGCGCACGGCCCACCTGCTCAAGATTGTACCTGGCAGCTCTGACAGCATCCATCGCCCAGCCACATGCACGACGTCGAGCGGCGCGGGGTTGGTCTCATCATTGACCTTGTTCGCTGTTTCAAGAGAGAGCCTGTACAGTTCTTTTGCGCGTCGCCCAGTGGGAAAATCTTCCGCGAAAGCTAATATACCGCAGACAGACGTCAACCCTCAACCCTAAACCTCCACATGCTCAATTCCGCCGTTCCTGGACGCTACTTCAACTCTGCGCGCCCAGAAGGAATGCGCTGTGCACCGTCCGCTGGCCAGCAGTCAACTCGGTAATTGACCAAGTGCAGCTCGCCTCTCGTCCAGGTCCTGATGATGCTAGTCAGCACCGTGAGCTGCCCACGCAGACGGAGGTATCCTGGACTGTTCGTGTCTAGGCGGCTGGACCCGGCCGCGCAACCCTGGACGTTTGCGATCTGCAGGTCATGGGGAATCATATGCGAGTCCGTCCCGTCGCCTGCACACATATCGAAAAACTGCAAAACAGGAGGAGGTGCGGCGTTGGGGAACCACTCGGTGTCCACTGAAAATGCTTCCTTTTAGCCACTGCCATGCTTGCACGCAGCCATCTTCATGTAACCAAGCCACCCAATTCGCCGACAGTCCGGTAGGCCCGCAATGCCGCCAGGGCATCCATGGCATCTGGGGGACCGATGCTCCATTGCACTTGGTCTTGCTCGCCCACCAAGCCTTATTCTGTTGTGGCTTTGGACTTTGAAAAACCGTCGCCCGCACTGTAAAGAGCTCAACATCCTGACGCGCGAGCTGCCCATCTTCAACACCACGCCCTGGACGACCGAGTGGGACTGAGGGATGCTACAACATGGGCGGAGGTCTCCATCCTCCACAGGCGACCCTCGATGCGTGGGCTTCCGACCCCGTCCAGTATCCTCGGGGTGAGAGCAAAGGCTTGGGCATTGTGATTCTCCTGGGCTTTCTCATCGCATTCGCTTCTGCCGTCGTCGTCGCAAGGCTGGTTGTGCGCCTCAAGTTTCGTCGGAACGCGGGTGTGGACGACGCGCTGATTGCGCTGGCAATTGTACGTATTGTGTGCACGGGTTGAAGTCCTTCTGACATTTGCAGCTTCCAATGGTTGGCTTCGACGCTTCGGTCATTCTAGGTATGTGATATTAGCGAGGTTTCAATTAAGCAACCGAGGGATGGTGTTGGGCTGCCTGTCCACGGACATCCCGTCGCCGTTGTTATTACGCTTGACTCGCGGACCGTATTGCGCCTTGCTGACTTTTGGCTGGACAGGATGGAATCGCTACGGTGTTGGAAAACACGCGTGGGATATTTCGCCCGCACAAGCCGCTGATGCGCGCCTTATGTACTGGACGGCAACTTTTTGCTATATCCTTAGCACGTCCCTGACTAAAATATCAGCCTTTTGTTTTTACCGGCGGGTTAGCCCTTCCACCTTCTCCGTAATATTCTACTGGGTAATTTGGGCCTCCATTGGCTTCGTCATCTGCTACATGACCGTTTGCGAGGTTATGCTCTTTGTCAACTGCCAACCTGTAAACGCGTTCTGGAAGCAGATGTACCCAGGCTACAACAGCTACCGCTGCTTTGACGAAGCCACCGCCTTCCTTTCAGAAGCCGCGATAAGCGTCGCGCAGGACTTTTTGGCGTGCATCCTTCCTATGGTCATCCTCTGGGGTCTAAATTTCTCGGGTCGCCAGCATACTGCTTTGGGAATTATTTTCTTTTTGGGACTATTGTAAGTCGAAAATCATCATAGCACGACAACGCTAACAATAACAGTGTTTGCGCTTGCGGAACTGTGCGGTGCGTCCTCATCTATCAGTACTACCACAAAACCTACGATACGACTTGGGCGCTTTACAATTTGTGGATCTGGACCGCTGTTGAAATGCACGTCGGGATGGGTTGCGCGTGCCTCCCATCGCTGAGGCTTTTCTTCACTCGCTTGCTGTCTAGTTCTCCGCCTGCCACAGAGCAAAGCCTGCCGAGTCGGAGTCTCCAGACTCCAGCATACGACATCAGTGGAGGAGAAGGAATTGTCAAGACGTATCCAGACGATGCAAGAAGTTTGAATCCTTTTGCATACCGGCTTCACATTCCTACCCCAACCTTTAGCGACTTTGATCCTGGACCACCGCCGCCAACTCCTCCGCAAACTGCGCAAACCCCGGGCAGACCATCAACACTGGACCCCAAAGTCACTGGGTCCTTTGTCAACCTTGCCGACACGGACAAACCCCCGCGCCTCACGACCCCACCAAGTAGCAAAGGCAGCGAACGGTCAAAAAGTCGAGCAACTAGCAGAGCCACAACGGATCCTTTTACTGGTAACGAAATCACCACGACCCCAACCCCCGATCTCGGTGACTTTGATCCCGGGCCACCGCCTCCTACACCCCCGCCCAAGTCACCTTCCGGGAAGAACACCAAAAGCATGGCCACCGTAGCCAGTCGACCGCAGACCCATCTCACGACAGCGTCCAGCAAGTACGATGATGAGAGCGTCTATCAAACCCCATCGAAACCAGCGTCGGTCGTTTCTGCGACCTCTAGCAGATATGACGAGAGCATCTACACAGATGCAGGCCAGCCGCCTCCGAAACCGATTTCTATCATCACCAAGACTAGGGCTGGGAGTATATATACAGATGCCAACGTTCCACCAAGCGGAGCATCCAGCAAATACACATCCGTAGCTGCTTCAAGCCGATACCCGGAAGACAGCATCTACGTGGACCCGAGGAAGCCTCCACCACACCCAATTACAGTTCCAGGGCCAGAGAGCATGTATGTCGATTCGAAACAGGTGCCGGACACGCCCAGGACCGAAGAATCCAGCCGTTACGATGACGACAGCCTGATGGAGGACCTCTTTGGCCATGACGACATTCAGCAACCACAAGACATGCTCGAAAACGACACGGATACTCCTATTGCTCAAGCCCTCAACGAGCCAGAGCATGTCTACGATCCCACTCCCAGGCAAACCATGTTTGGAACCTCACCGGCAAACAGCAAACCCCGCGAGTCAATAGCGAGTGAGTCGCTCGACTCTCGCCGGTCTGCGCAGTTGCCTACTTCAATGACATTCCTGGACCGCGGAAGCTTAATGGAGCGAGGTGGCATTCCGCTTTTGCGCGAGTGGCCAAAGAGGACAAGCAGCATGCGCCGCCGAAGCCGTGATGTTCTCAGTTTGATGGAGCGCGGCGCACTCACACAGTCGCAGGCATGGGATCAAAATGAAGCAGAAAACACCAATGGCAGCGCAGCACCCAGCGCTCGAAACAGTCATTCCTGGCTATCAACACGCAACTCATCATTCCGACGTCGCAACATGAGTCGCCAACATCCTCGCGACAGCCGAACCATTTCCACCACCGCCGTGCGCGACCGCGAGCAGCCCTCCAATGCCCCAGACCGCTTCTCTACTGCTACACGCGACAGCCATGAATTTTCTAGCGTCCAACGAAACACGCGTTTCTGGAACTCGCGCGAATCGCGAGCCGGTGACACGGGCAGCACCGTCATTCCCCCATCACAAAGAGGAACCATCGTGGACAATGGCAACGGTCCTCGCAGCAGCCAATTCCGCCACAGTCGCCCCTTTTCCTCCTTCCGTGACCGCGACTCCCGCGCCTCCGGCGTCCGCGACAGCTACACGAGCTTCAACGGCAGCAACAGCAACCTACCCGCTCGCTCGGCGGAGACGCCGCCACCGCTACCTCCCACAACACCCGCGTTGCAGCGCTTAGGCTACAACAGCGCCGCCATT